CAAGTGTTACCTCTCGATTCCAACGGTCGGTGCCAAGGCAAACTCCCGATTCCAACGATTATTGCTAATACCATGTGCGTTTGGTCAACTACTCCTTTTCTTAGGCGAATTCTCGCTAATGATCATGCTATATACGTATATCATATATGTTTAGACATTTTCATTAACTATTCATACCATGAATCTACATATCCATACTTACACCCAACTCACTTCACACATCAATTAGTATATAATCACAATTTCTCATTCATTATCACTATTAATATGTGTATGAACTTACATATAATTTGCAACAATAATGTATCACCAACCATGCCAAATTTACATCATGAGTTTAAAAATACTAAACATGTTTCAAATCAACCATTTCAACAAATAATCAATTAATATTCAACTATAAAAAATTAGGTTTTTCCTGATTACCTCAAACCTTTGAGAGGTCAAAGGTTTATCCCTCAATAAAATTTCTTCACAAACTATATCAAAACTTAAATGATGCACAAGATAATTGATCTATAATTAATTATACCAATAATCATAAACACTCTTCCAACTTTCATATCAACACTTTAATTACCTAAAATTTCAATCTCCTGCACTTAAGCATAACTATTAGGTTTATTAATTTCTATTAACTCCATTTAGCTTTTATTAATTTAAATAATCACTAATATAACTTTAGAGGTTTAGGGTTCGTCTAAAATGGATGCCAAGTTTACAATCCTGTAAAAAATTTTTAAACTATATGTAGAACTTAAACAACTCCCATTAGTCCTATTTAGACCAGTGAGTTCAGATCAATAGCCTTAAATTTAAAAATCATCATTTTTCAACCTTGAATCTCACTTTCAAAATGTGTAGAGAGAAGAAGAATAAATAAAGAAGGCATACATAAGTGAAACTAAGCTTTAAACAGCTCTAATATATCCAACGGTTGATGCCCTTACAGAGAAAACACTCTCTTAATCGCCTTCTCTGTGTTTCAAGTATCACACTTCATTTTTCAAATTGATTTTCACATTTTAAAAATTGGTTCAGGAAATTATGCTGCGACATAAATTTTCATGTCGTAGCATAACACGCTGTGAGCTAAAAATCTAATTTCTCTTTACAATTTAAGTTCAAGTGACCTAATTCACTTCCGAACCTAATCCAAAAGCTAAAGCCAAACCCAATAGACATATCTAACTATCCTCAAACCCAATTATACTTAAACTTTTATAATTATCTTTTATTAAATTATAAATCATGGAAAAATTTTTAGGATGTTACAATGTTGACCAAGTCAACAAAAAGGTATTGATGGACCAATTCAATCATGCACAAGCTACTACTACCTTATGTAACTTATATATAAGGCATATTTCTAAAATTTTACATTAAATGTTCTGCTATATATATACTTTAGTCATTTATTAATCCACTTATTTTGGCATTTAAGAAACATGTACACCATCATGCTTGCTGGGGAGATGTAGTGCAGATGGTTATACTTGTCAATCTCCATCTAGTCTGTCTTTATGGCTGTGAGACAATAAGTCCTAAGCAAACATTGAAGTTGCTTAGAAGCTTTCTAAGTACTTCAAGCAATGTGGCACCAATAAGAACATAATATCTATAATGCCTTATTTAAAGAATAAGTTATTTTACGATACTTCATTTAAAAAACAAAGAAATTATGACACTTCCTAATTATAATCATTGTCATAAGGGCACTGGATATTACTTGTGATTGATTCAACCATAGAGAGAGTATGGTATCTTGACCATATTAATGGTGGCAATCCAAACACTAAGCTGCATATAGTAGATATGATTGGTCAGTAAGTTCACAAGTTTTATGCATATATCTATGTAATTCATTCTTTCTGTATGCATATATGTATGTAATTTATTCAGTACTATGAGGACACATATTGTGATATATATAATGAGGCTCAAACAGAAGAAATCATTGAAGAGCTAGCACGTAGTAGTTTTCAAGTGTCATTTAGCTATAACAACCAACAACAATGAATAAATACATCATATAAGTTTATATTTAAAGCTGACATATATATATGTATACTTGGCCAATTTTAGGGATTTGGAGCTTTATTTTAGCCATTAATTGGTTTAAGTTAAGCAACATTAAATTGTATATAGCTTGTGTAGGAATTCATGATATAAATTTCATGCATATGATTATTGTTGACTTCAAAGACTGTTCTGAGTGCTAGAATTGTATTTTATAAATGTTTATTATATGGGAATTGCTAGAAATATAGCCCTCAATTTAAACAAAATAAAATGGATACAATATTAAACAGGTTTGTTTAATATTGTGACTAAATCTATGGTGCAAGCATATTCAACGATTATTTGCTTTAAGCTGTTCAATATTCTGTAAATATTAAACAGTTATTTCACCAAAACCATTTAATATTGACAAAATATGCAACGGTTATAGGCAGAGGGCTGTTGAATATTTTGTTTCCCAATCAACAACGTTTAGACTTGAAATAAATGTTGAACAGTTTTTACCAAATAATTGTTAAATATTGTTAAAATATTTAATTGTTAAAAATCGTTGAATATATGCTTATAAAATATTCAGTGTTAAATTACTTAACAGTTCATGATTGTGTAATATTAACAAAAAAATAAGCATTTTATATACTTTTTTGTAGTAATGAAAATATTCATACCATAAATTTATTTAGATTTTGACCCAGTAAAGGTAGAAAAACTATCTCAGTCTCACTTTAGACTCGAAAGCCTTATCAAGTTAAACTATCTCAAACTTAAACAAATGTTATTTTTAATTTTTTATTATTGAAAGGCCCGATTCATGACAACCCGTTTTCGGTATGATACTGGAGAGGCAGCATATTTTAAGATTTTTATTGTTCTTCTTTTTCCGCCCGGCTTGGAAATGGGAATAAAATGTTTTACGAATCTTAATCGCATAAAAGCAGATATTGTTAGATCTTTGTATCTCAATTCATATAAATAAATAAAGTGATATATACGTACCTAAAAAATTCATAAATACTTGAAAAATCTCGATTATCTTGAGTGTAGACAGGTACACAACCCATAGGTCTTTAGAGCCTTCGGAGAGTTCAGAGATAATAGAGCAGAAGAAAATGAGTCGTGTGTCTTGCGGTTATCGACTAATTGTTTTATATAAATTAGATCGGTAACTGTCTTATTAAATAATAAATAATTATATATTTCATTATTTCTAACTCAGTTAGTTAAGAGATAAGAAATAAATGACAGCTATTGGGTTGTGGGTTGGGCCTCTGTTCATTATATATTAGTTATCGACTAATGGTCCTCTTATTACTGTCCACACAAGATCATAAATACCAATCTGTTTGGGCTTATTAATTAATGTTGATTCATAAATAAATAAATATTTCAACAGATATTATATATATATATATATATATATTAGAGAAAGACACGTTATGGACCCTTAATCGAACTAATGTTACTTTTATTATTGAAAGGCCTGATTGATGTCAGTTGTCATGCAACTCGTTTTCCGTATGATACTGGAGAGGCTGCATATTTTAAGATTTTTATTGTTCTTTTTTATTTTTTGGGTTGCCCTCGGCTGGAAATAAAATGTTTTAAGGATCTTAATCTCATAAAAACAGAGATTATATATTAGAGAAAGACACATTATGCACCCTTAATCCCATGACCATCCACTGCTTCCAAGAGCTTATCTTCTGGAACTGTGGTCCGGCCCACAAACACGTGCGTTTTGCCGCAGAGCCCCCAAAACAAGCATTAAGCACCATCACAAGTTTAATGACAATAAGTCATCTAGCTGGTTTTGCCTTATGTGTGCGCTTTGATCGCTATATGATTTAATCTGAACTTTCTTTATTTGCATATTCACTCGTGTGTGTGTGTGTGTGTGTGTCATGAAAACAAAGTTCATAGAAAACCATGTAGAAGACCCGCTTTTTGTTTCCATGCTTATTATTTCTTTCTTTTCATATCTTTATTGATACCCTTACATGTTCAGTACTGTGTGAATACAATTGAGGCATTTAGATAATACAAAAACTAAAATAAAATTATTCAATATAAGAATAAAATGAAATAGAAAATATCATATAATATAATGAATTAATGACCAGGGATGAACCACTCGGTGGCTAGGGGAGGCAATCGCTGCCCTGCAAAAATTTTTCATTTTTATTGTTTTTCAATTATTTAATACATGATGTGTGTATTTCTGGCAAAAAAAATTTACACGATATATATATTAAATACTACTATCATTTAATATATAATATTTCCACTCATGCCCGCATGTTTGTGTGTGTAAATGTTGCCTCATATCCTAAAATTTCTGTATTTGTCGCTGGTAATATAGCTAAGAAATCCCGTGTAATCAAAATCCAATAATTTAAAAATTTAAAATAAGCAAACATAAATGCATGCATGCATATGGGGCATACATCTTTTAAAATTAGACAAATCAAATTTAATCTCATCTTCAGCAATCAAATAGTTATTGGTTTTTTAGGTATAAATATATTTTTATTAAAAACAATCCTGTTAAAAGTAAAATCAGTCATTAAATGTGACCATTTTTTTCCAGCAGATCAAATGTAAACCTTTATTCATCCTGTTAAGCATAGTATCAAACCTTTTGTGGGAGACCGAAAATTAGAAAGCAGCGTGGGTCATGAATGCAGGGGCCAGGCTAGAAGAATAGATAAAGACTTGTTTGGAAAGCAGACACGAGAGTCAAATCAATTACCAATGATATGATCGCGGCAACGACGGGGTGACCTTGGCAAAACTCGATTGTGGCTGTTAGCACGCAACTATCATCTAAATTCCAATGCTGAGAAAAGCAAAGCACGTTCACAAGCAATCAAATCCCTCGTCGTGTCTCAGTTCCCTCCAACCAAATAATTTTATTACATATGTATCTGGCTTCGCCCCGGCCCTCCTTTCTATTCTTACCCCACCTTACTCCCAAATGCATCTTCTTCTTCTCCATCTCCCTCGCCGACATAGCTTCCTCTGAGTTCAATGTGTAGATGATGAGCGACGCCACAGGTTCGTCTGGGTTCATATCATCAGGGTTTTGGTATTTCGTTGGGGTTTCTATTGGGGTTCTGGTTATCATCACCGCTCTCACCATTGCTTCCTACTTGTGCGCTCGCTCACGCCTTCCCATTCCTCTGCCCCCACACAGGATTAATGCTCTCCATCACTCGCAGCCTCATCTTTCCGCAGTTGAAGTGCAAGGGATTGACGAGGCCACCATTCTGGGTTACCCCAAGCTGCTATTTTGTGAAGCCAATAAGCTCAAGGACTCTGACGGCCACGGACCCAACGCTGCCACTTGTTGCTCCATATGCCTGTCGGATTACAATGACACGGATACGGTTCGGGTACTGCCCGAATGTGACCACCTCTTCCACCTCCCCTGCGTAGATCCTTGGCTTAGAATGCATCCCACATATCCTAACTGCCGAACATCTCCCCTGTCAACCCCTCCGGCTCAGGTGGTTTACTCCACTGCTGACTCTGCTTCTTAGCTGTGGCTAAATTTGCATCTTGTTAAGTGTTTGAAAGAGAGATAGAGTTTGAAAGAGCTATACTATAAATAAGGCATTAGATCTCATCTCCGCATATGTGGGTTCTGCACTTCTGCTGTATGTTCCCTTTTCATCCCTTTCTAACTTCATCATCAAGCGCCGATCACTTAAATCATCTCTTTCCCTTGGCCACAACCGCTGCTTCCTAGGATTCTCTCAAGCACTTCATGGAAATAATGTCAGAGAAATACATGGATGTACCTTGCTAGAGTATTGTTCAATTTAATGTTTTGAACAAGTAGAGAGTATTGGGTGATTGCTGGTATACATTACAGAGAAGCGTTTTACCCTGTGGACTTGAACTCTGTTTGCTTACTCTTGTCTCGTGTTGTGATTTTTCTTCCAATATCTAGACCCTTCGTGTGAAGTTATCTCAAGGGGCAAAAACCCTTGTCATCAATAGTTCAATACATAGAACATTTTGACTTGGCATCTTCTGGGATTTGGTTACCACTTATCAACTTCTCTTAGGGGGGAAAATGCAGCGCCTCATAGTCTTTTTTTTTTAGAGGAAGCAGCTATCATTATCTGTTCCACACAAAAAAATCTTGAATTGCACAAGAACAGCTAAAATGACCTGAATTTATGAATTAATTTTGCTGAGTCCACCAATTTCATATATTGCACTGGTTCATCAATTTAAGGTGTGTTTGGTAAGTTTACTTTTCACATCCCAAATGTAGTTTTTAACTTTTGGAATGTGAGATGTTATTTGGAATATATTTTTAAAATGAAATGTGCTTTTCAAAAAGGCTTTTAAATGGGTATGAAACTAAGAAAATAGGAAGCTACTTTTGGGAGCTTTTCAAACGCAAATCATACATATTGAGCATTAATGATTGGTACCTAATATTATAAAAGATCATGATGTCCTCATTTTCTCCTTCTTCACGTGCACCAACAATGGCCTCTCTTTCATTCAGTATGTTCTCTTGCTCGCTCGCTCACTCACTGGTCAATCATTCATCCCTCGTTTGTCACTCCGTCGTCACTCCTCCATCTCTCCTTTGCCGTCTAGTCACAGATCCCAAGCTCCTCATCTCCAACGTCTAGGCACTAGTGGTGGCCCTCTCATAAGTCGCCTTTACTTGCTCCACGGCGGCAAATGTGTCTGGCTCTCTAGCTGGCTTGAAATTGGTGGATTCCCTGTCTGCCTCCTTTCCCTATTCATCTCTCTCATTTGTAGCCACCTCTCCCAACAAGCCAAGCCCCTTCATCTTCATCGATGCGCGCCTGTTCCTTTCAGCCTTAATCATTGGTGTTCTCACCTGCCTTGACGATTAGCTCGCCTCCTCGTCTTCACATCTACTTTGATCATTGTTGCCTAGCTAGCTTTCACCGCCGCCTTCCTTCTCGTCAGGCAAAAGTTCACCCTTTTCTCCATAAATGCCGTCATCTTGCTCACTACTGGAGTTGGTGTGTTGGCTCTTCATTCATCTAAAGATCGCCCCTGAGGCAAGTCCACCAAGCAACAAGTGTCACCGTTTGTGTTAACGCCGACAGCGATAGCCTTGTACAGTTTTTTGTTGCCTGAAGATAGAGCTTATGTATGGCAAGAGCAAGTAGAGAGCGATCATTGTTAATATAATAAATTTTATGACATAATTTTTTCCAAAATGAAATTTTATATTTTTTTTATTATTTAACATTTTAAATTTTATGTGATTTTAAATTTGTTTCAAATTTTTTAAACATCACTAATATATTATATTTGTATAATAAAAATTATAAATTATTATGAATTAATGTCCTTTTTGATCATTAAATGTTAAAAAATACATTTTAAAAGAATAAATTTTTATTAATTTAAATAATTTTTAGTTTATCAAACTGACTTTTAAAAAAATGTATTCAAATATAAATTTCATTACAAAAACTGACTTTCACTAAATTAATTTTTGCCAAATAAACTTTTATCAAACTGACTTTTAACAAACTAAAAACCAAACACACACTTAATCCTCAGCCAATAAATTAACCTGGAAGTACATGTATATTTTAAAAAGTTATCATCTTCAATTCTCAATCCATATTAGATTTGAAATTGTATTTTTTTTTGTTTTCTTTTATCTTTTGATGAAGTCAAATCCATAATTCATGTGAGATTCGATGAGATTTTATATTAATTGTCAAGAGTCTAATGTAATTTCTTTTTTCTTTATCTGATATTGGACTATAAAATATAAGCGCAAGCAATAGAGTTCAATAACAAGATACAATATATGTATCTGACCAACTTTGATTAATAAGATAAAACCTCTTGTTGTATCTTCTGATAAAGCCATCCTCCAACCACACTTTTGTTGCTAAGCAAGAAAAGGTCATTAACTTATGTGAATTCATAATAGAATCCTTTTAACTTATGCCACCAGGTTAGCTTTTAGCCACACCCGGGGACAAGGTTAATGTTGAGTAAGCAAGAAAAAAAACACCAACACTCCGTGAAAAAAAAAAAAAACCAACATCAAATTAAAAAGACGACGGAAAATGGCTATGATTGCAAATTAGATTTTAATGATTTATTTTTTAAAATGGGATTTTGATTATGTTTCAAGTTCAACGTTGTTGCTAACTATCAGTTTCATTGGTAAATTGAAGAGAATATATCAACTTAAAACATTAAAAATTTGATAAAATATTATTAAAAAAATATAACAAGTATAGGCAAGAGAGAGAGATAGGGAGACTACAATTACATATACAGAAAGGTTAATTGCACAAATCTTTCCTAAATTGAATCCTGTGTGAATCTCTCTAAACTTTTAAGCATGTTACAAAATGTGGAACCTCTACATTTTAATATCATAAAGTTTAGGAAAGTTTTATATGTGTGATTCAAAGTTTAGAAAAATTAAAAAAGAATGATAATGGAGAGGTATGGTGTGTGTTTAGATAACTCATAACCATTAATTATATACTTTCTCAAATTTTATTTTTACTTACATATAACCTCTCAAATTTTAATTTTATGTATATGACTTTCTTTTTTTTTTCTTTGTTTTTTGGATGAACTTTTTTAGTTTTATTATACAAATTTCTTAAATTTTAAGTTATGTACATATTAATAATTAATAAAATTAATTATAGGAGATTTATCCGCCTAAATGTAAAAATTTAAGAGGTTTATTGTGAAGTTTTAAAAGTTACGATTGAAGAAAATCATGGAAACTATGTATGATTCAGCCTTAAAAAAGGGGGGGAAACAATATTGAAGTCGGCGGTTACTTTGAAGACCAGAAGGAACCGCGCCAGGTTAGGAAAGCCTGTTGAGAAGATACCAAACGTTCTTCGGCCACCCACCACTCTATAACTTGAGCCGTCGGTCTCTCTTTGTTTCAGCACTGCTCTCTCCCTCTCCCCCTATATACCTCATCTTTCTGTGTTTGCCTGTGCTCATCACTCGTTGCTGAATCAGAAAATCCATGGAGATTTTGCCCGTTAAGCTCATGGTTCCCTTCTGTTTACTGCTCTGTCTGATTTCAGCGTTTGCCCACGCTACCGACGTCAAATACTGCGGTCGCTCTCTTTTACCCTTCCGCTTTTCGAATTTTTGCTTTGCCACATGACATTTTTTACATTAAACTGTCTGCTTCATGTTTCCATTTCAATATCTGATAGGTTTTTGGGCCCCCCGATTATGCGTTGGTTTCTCACTCGACTAAAGGATTCTTCCCGTTGGAATGAATGAATGGAACTTACCCCAGAAACTTAAATTTACACGCTTCATTTCCTATAGAGTTTTGTTTGTATCTTGTGATCTGGTGTTCATCTTGTCCAATATTATGATCTCTTTATTTGTTATCTGACATCAATGTTAGGTTTTGACGGATTGTATTGTAGAATCCGCACCCCCCGGCCTAATAGCTGAATTAGTGAAATGTTTTGCTGGCGGTTTTCATGCGTTACATTTTTTAAACAAATTCATACCTTATTTTACTTAGATTTTCATCATAATGCAGATAAGACTGATTATGATGTCAAAGTCAAAGGAGTTGAGATATCTCCTAACCCCATTGCAAGAGGCCACCCTGCCACATTCAGCATTGCTGCTACCACTGGTATTTCGGAATAGCACTATCACATCTTACTCGCTTGTTTTTTGGCTCATTGTTTCCTGTTTCTTTTAATTCAGCTGAACCTGTGTGCGCTTGGGAATTGAGTAATTGTAATTTTTAAGTATTAATTCCTATACGATGTTGAATTGGAAGTCTGAAGTTTTGTACCATTAATTGCTCTACCAATTGTACGAGGATTTTCAACATTATGAGGTCTTGGGAAGAACAGGATGTCCTTGTTTTTTCTTTAACCCAAGCTTTAAAACATATCACTATTTGAGGAGGGAAAATTGTAATTTGTACCTTACATTTTGTTGGCGCCCTTCTCTTTCCTTTCACATATCTCCTCTCTTTATATCAAAAACTATATGACAGGACTAAGATTGCGTAATTAACAAGTGGACAGTATTAAACTCTAGCAAGTATTTCTTTAGGTAACTAAAGATAAAGCCTTGAATTATGAATCTCACATCAAAACTCGTGTCCTGTCCCAGAGAAGGCAATATCTGGAGGGAAACTGGTGATCGATGTTGCATATTTTGGGTGGCACATACACAGTGAGACCCATGATCTTTGTGGAGAGACAACTTGCCCTGTTTCAGTTGGTGATTTTGTGGTTGCTCATACACAAGTTTTACCTGGATTCACTCCTCCTGTAAGTCATTGTTTTATAGATGCATGTTGTTTTGGGAGTACAAATGTTCAACTAGTCAATAGAAATTAGGTAATTAGCAGCATTGTTGCTTTGCTGGTTTGTTAGTTTCTTTTATATAAATTTTAAGAGAGCATCATCCTCATTTAGTGACCCAAATTTTATAATTACTTGTTCACATCTAAGGAAAGCATTGACTATGTAATTTCATTCGTTGGAACACAGCCGGACTCTGATGAAACTTTGTATTTCATCTTATCATTATTGAATGGTATCAGCATGATATTCAACTATAATTTGCAACATTTTTAATTGGTGCCTCCATCCTCGCATAGTCTTATCATTGTTTCACTTCCACCACATTCTTTACTAAAACTCTGCGAGTCGCCTATCAGCCTTGTTATGACAAGACAAAGTGCCTCCTTGAGCTCTTTCTAGCTCCATCCCTTGTGGCGAATGTGCGCACATTCTTGCTTGTCTCTTACACATTACTTCACTTTGGTTAACACATGGTACCGCTATTTCTATCACCTTTGTCACTTGTCCTGAATTAACCCTTGTGATACGGCTTAAATTTAGGCCCCTTATATTGGTTTGTAGTTGTCCTTTCCCTTGGCCAGGGACGATGGTAGTTTAAAGTTGATGTTTGGATTTAGATAATTAGATGTATCATTCAATCATTTAGGTCGCACTGTTCATTTTCAGTTTTCTCCATCTTGTCAGTTATCATTTCAGACTTGTGTTTTCCAATGGCTTACTTGTCCAATTGTCGAATATCCAAAGGGCATCCTTCATTGTGTTAAAGTTTCTAGACATTCTAGGTACATTTGATGAAAGATGGATTTTGTTGTTAGGAGGTAATTTGTTTCTGAATTATAAGGTTTTATTCGATCATCTCTTTATCTGACGTTCTATCAAGCGCTTGAAGTGTCACGTCAATTCGCTACATCATGGCTCTCACCATAGTTTCACATTTGCTGATTACAGGGTTCTTACTCTTTGAACATGAAGATGTACGATGGAAACAAAAATGAGCTGACTTGCATCCAATTCGGATTTACTATTGGATTTGTTTCTTCCGTGGCTGATATCTGAGTGAACTTCAGTGTTGATCCTGAAATATATTGTCGGTAACATGCATATAACCTATTTGTAACAATACTTGGATCCTTGTAAAATACTCTCAGACCAGCAGTTAGTGGTTCACAAACTATTATGACCGTACTCAAAGGATGTAGTGCGTGTTTGAATTAAAAAATTTACAATTAAAATTGGAAATCAATTAATGTTGGCAAACTGAGGTTTTGCAAAATTTTTGTAATTGTAACATAATTTATATTTAGATATATTTTTTTATAAGTCAATTGACCAAATTAAAATATGTTTGGGTGATCTAATTTGAAAGTCAATTGAGATGTATGATAAAAAAAAATGAATTTGAATTTTGTTATATAAATTTTTGTGATTAATTTGATATTTTTAGAAAAAATATTGGACTTAAAATTATAATTTTTTAAAAAAGTAGATTACAAATATAAAATAGTCAGGTATAGTAATTTTATGAATATCAATATATTTGTGTAAATATAAAATTTTGTTCTAACCTTATTGGTCAAAAAAATTGTATTACTCTAAATTATGAATGATGCGATGTGTACTGGGCTTGGCCATGGCATTTATTCTATTTTTATGTCCCGATTTGCATGTTTTATCATTTAAAAAGTGTTTTAAATTGTTCATCGGTTCGAGACTTAACAGATTTTTTGTTAAAAAAATCCAATGAATTAATTGCAAAAGAAGAAAAAAGGCATGTGGCATGTCAATTTGAAGAATGGAAGCGCAAAAAAGTTGTGATGAGAAATAGCGGAAAAAAAAACGTGTAGCAAGCACGGGATGAAAATGGAAGGATGAACGTCAGAAATAGGGAAGGAAAGCAACTTGAAAGGGCAACGAAGAGAGAGAAAATGAGAGGATGAAAAGTGAAAATGCACATTCTCCGTGAATGTTTGGTACAAAAGCTGCCTCATTTAACTTTGTCGAAAACTCTCATTCTCTTGATTGTTTAATTTTATTTTTATTTAAACAAGGCCTCATGAACTTCTGACATCCCAACTTAAATTTGAGCCACTCTAATTTAAAGTATATTTAAATTAAAAAAATTTATAATTAATATTAAAATCAACTTAAGTTAGCAAAATTGATGTTAAAGAGAAAAACCTGTGACTTTAATGGAATTTACATTGGAATATTTTTTTTTGTCATAAAAGTAAGTTGAATAAATTAAAATTTATTTGAATAATTTAATTTAAAAGTTAGTTAAGATGTATAAGAATAAAAATGACTAATTTAATATTTTAAGGGAAAAATATTAAACTGAAAATTACATTTTTTAACAGTAGATTATAGATATAAAATACATTGATAATTCAAAAATCTTAATCTTTAGAAAGATAGATTAAATAAAAAATTATAAAATATTCAATTATAAAAAACTAAAATAAATTCATAAATTACAAAATGTTTCATTCTAAAAAATAAAATAAAATTATAAAATATTCAATTTTAATAATGAATGACTAAATGTGTCTCAACTTTACATCACATGACTATACTATGACAAAAAATATATCAATTTTATTATATATGTGTTTATAAATAATTTGATATATTTAGGAATATTAAAATTTTAAATAATAATTTTCTTAAATAAGTAGAATAAATTTTTTTAAATAGATTGGTAAATTAAAAAATCTGAAATTTTAAATATTTCGTGACCAAGAAATTATCATACCCTTTTGTTTTACAATTTCTTACGCCAAAAGCTGAACTGCATTTGTAACATGGTCCCACAAATAATTCTTTGGAGGAGGAGGGATGACGGGCGAGGAGAGAGAAAAGCGCGTTGATCTTTGAGAAGCTCATTTTTGCCACTTTCGATTGAACACTCGTTTTGCTTGAAAGCTCTTTTCAATATTTTCTCATCTAAACAACATTAAAATGTTCTAATGAGCTTTTAAGTATCCCAACCGAGGTTAGAACAATTCTAACCTCGGTCGAAATATAAACCAATCACATACTTAGGTTGAAATGTTAACCAAACATAATCGTACTCTGCTCCAGTGGAACCGTGGAGAAGTTGGCGCCATATTCGATGTCCTCTGCTCTGCAACCGTTAAGCGCATCCATACCAGACATGATGTTAATACCTATTATCACAATCATGTTTCAAGTTTAAAATATTGGTTGGTTGTTAATGATGCGCTTTTGGGAATGGACGTACATTGACCATCATGATTGGTTTTTATTTTTATTTTTTTTTATTTACCATTTTTGCTTGCAAAACGATCTTTTGCGCGTGATAGTTGCATGTGATTGCGGATTTTAAGATTGGAAATCCGGTGATGCTTTGAGAAAGAAGGTTCGATCCGGTTTCTTAAATGCTCATCTCGAGGAAAGGATTCTAGTATGATAAAGGATGTAGCCATTTAACAAAACTGGGGCCTAATTATGGCCACTGGCACATTGTGTCTCCTTTGAATTAAGCAATGAGATGTGGACCTGGTGGTCCATGGGCTCCCTATGTGTTAGTGGGTACTTAACCCAGAGAACCATGTGCTACATTGTCATATTGAGCTTGAGACTAACTCGGTTCCTCATCATGGGGGAATTTTAGCCACTTGGTTTGTTTCTAGTTGACAAGTATCCTTCATGGATCATACCATGATTGAGGCACCAAATGGTAGGTAATAGGTCATGGCACTCTAATCAGATAAAAAAGAGGGGAGGGAGATAAGTCAGCTTTGTCCCCACACCATGCAGTGATAATTCATTACTTAGTAAAGCTACCCAACACTAAACAGCTTTTCAGTCTCCACTTTATATCACGGCCATTGGAAGGCTCAAAGGAGAGCTGATCGTCGATCTCCCATGTCCTCTATATAGTGTTTCACACGATCAGTCATTCTCACCTCTTCTTTTCTTCTTTCCTTTTAGTGGGCAACAACGCATGCCATCTCGGTTCGGAGAGCTAGAAGACATGAAAACAATGAGAGGCAGGTTCCTTAGGAAGTTGAAAGTCGCCCCAACCTTGAGCAACTTGAAACAAGGCCTGGCTTTTCAGCATAATCCTCCAGAGATATTCTGCACCCAGAAATATGCAACCCCACCACCTTTTTATGATGATCAAGATCTCAAGTGCAACCACCTGATTGAGCTGGATGCTACCCTTAATGGCAGTGAAGATGATAAGCATGCTGAGAAAGAAGAAATGGAATTGGAATTCAGTCCTAGTAACAGAGATAAGGTCACATCCACCATAAGGTCCAAGGAGACACAGCTTGAAAAGCAAAGCCTAGTGGCTCCTACCTTGCCAGAGACCAAAATGGAGAGTAATATCACTCAAGACAGTAAATTATACCCGTCTCTGACGGATTTTGAGGAGATATGCCCACCAGGGGGAACCCAATCGGTAATTCTCTACACTACAAGTCTGAGAGGCATAAGGAAAACCTATCAGGACTGCAAGACAGTCCATTTCTTGCTGAGAAGCTTTAAAGTATTATACTTTGAAAGGGATGTGTCTCTGCACTTGGAATACAGAGAGGAGCTTTGGAAGATCTTAGGCAGCAAAGTGATTCCTCCCAAGCTATTCATCAAAGGGAGATACATCGGAGGAGCTGACGAAGTGGTTGGGTTGCATGAGATGGGATGGCTCGGGAAGCTTCTGGAAGGAATACCAATTGACTCAGCCAATCGCCCTTGCACTGGCTGTGCTAACATGGGGTTTTCCATTTGCTCCAACTGCTGTGGAAGTTGCAAAGTCTTCACCAGCAATGGCGAAAACGATGAATTGTGCCTCAGATGTCCAGAATGCAACGAGAATGGGCTTGTCAAATGCCCAATTTGCTGCTAGCTAGAATAACATTGTTCTAACTAGGATCATCTTGGTCTTGATCTCTGTATTGTATAACCGTCGTGTTCTATATTTATTAGTCTTCTATGTGTAATATTTGTAATCTAGCAGTCCCTAGAGTGGCATTGTACTGAAGTTATTTCAATGGATTGACTATAAGCCGATGCTAAGTATTTAAATAAACATGATACTTGGAGACATTAGTTCTGATTGCGGGTTACATAGATGATTGGTTTTGATATTTGCACTAGAAGATAGTGTCTTTTTGAATATCTGGGGCAGATAATAAGGTATAATAATCGTTTTAGGTTCTTGTCCATCACAAAAGAAAATGTAATTAGACGAAGATCACAGAAGATTGAAGCGCATAAAATGTTGTGGATAAAAGTTGGGGCAAGATGATTCTATCCGTTTCTGATAAATGCAACCAAGTTTGAGCTAAGCTAACTCTCTAGCTTGCGCATATAATTGCCTATTCATGGGCCGAAGTATGCACATGGCTCTCCTTGAATTTTGAAGAAAGCAAATATTTCGTATCGTAAAAAGGCTATGTACCATAAAGATGATAGGGGCATACGACCAAGTGTCCATGATTAATGCAAAAGCCATATGATGGCTTTTGAAAAGATGATACAAGACATTAATTCTTCAGCCTCTACATGGTACATACTTTTGCAAAAGATTGAACAGAATGCCCAACCAATAGTTACCTAAGCACTAATACCTAAATGAATCTGTGACGCCTTATCTTTCTTTAAAAACATGTTTGGTCTATCATTGTCGGTCTCTTTCAATATTGTCGTTTTGGGTTGCACGGAATAAAATTAGTGGCAAAGAATAAGTGTTTTATGATAGCATTTGTGAGATGTTTTCAAATGGTTCGTATAAGAAGTTCTGCTGCAAAAAAGTGATGGTTGATGTATCAACTAACTAGAGGTAATCAATCTAATCTTGTCAATCATCACGCTAGCTAGATGCTGAAAAGCAGAACGTGTATGATTGTAAATAATTAAAACGAAAAAGAAAAGTTGTTGCAATTAAAATTTGCAGAAAAAGAACAATTGAGATGTAGATGAGTTAAAAAGATGAGATGTAATTAACCGTTCTGGTGAAAATTAATCAGTCTTCAAAAGAATACAAGAAAAGGCAGATCATCCATGATTTTTATCTGATTAGCCAAAAGTGCCCTGTTAAATTTGCCAGACAAATTAAACTTTTAAATTATTACTGGCTTAAGTGCATTAGTCTAATCTGGTTTCTTGGAAGAAGAACTAGATTGTACGATAAGCTAATGAGAAGAATATAAGTACAAAGACTTCTAAGAGGTCCAATACAAAGGTGTGAAGGTGTAAGACAAATTAGATGATTTTTTTTTTTTTGGTGCATGCATAATTCAATTTCAGTTCTTTTGGATGTTAAGTTATAAGACATATTTATATCAGGTACGTGAAATCTTTAACATACTTTCATGTTGTTGAAGTCCTAGACAATATAAAATGTCTTCAATGTATGAAAAATTAATATTCAATGGCCAAGACATTATTCAAGGAGTGATAGTGAATTTTGCCATCACAAGTTCAAACCTTAATCGTGTAGGTTTCTTTTTTCGAAAATGATTTATTATTATTATTATTATTATTTTTGGTGGATAAGACTCCTTTTTCATTGATATATCTATCTATAATTACTGTTTACTATATATTGTTATTCCTAATGTATTGCTTCCTTTAAACCTATTTATCAGAAACAAATCATGGTTACAAATGAGCATGGAGAGAGTATCATTAACGATGTCATTTAAATATCCTCATGGGTTAGTGATTTGTGCAATTAATATATAGCAGTATACACTATACACTCGCTATAAATTTAAAAACAATATAATCAATAAAAATTGAATCTAACAAAAGAGGTTAAATCTTTTATTTCAAATAAATTTATTTTTAATAGAAGAATATCTGTAAGTAAAAAAAAAAAAACCACGATATAAATAGGTTCTAAAAGTCCATTTGACCAACGCATCTATCAAAGCCCATTTTTTGACCTCTTAACGAAGCCCATAAAGATAAAGTTTCTGAGGGGTGAGAACTGGGGATGTCTGCCGCGAAAAAGTCACTAATGCATCAAAAAGGAAAGAAAAAGAATTTGCCGTGAAACGAGCATTTTCTTTCTTTCTTTTTTTTTGGATATTAAGTTTTATTGAGTAAAATATGGAAAATTATGAAAAAAAAAGAAAGAAACAAGCATTGCTATCAATGGATCCCAAACGCACAATTTTGAATGTTGCTATTTTTTCGTCTTTAAGAAACATTTTTGGAGGTTCAAATCTTAAAGGGAGATGTGATTCAGCTTCGTTATCAAGATTGTTCTCCATTTGGAACAACATATTAGCAAATTTCATGAAATGTGGCCAATGAAATCCGTATCCCAAGCTTTTGTGCATTTTATTAGTTACTGTGGTTGAGAAAACCAAACTGAATACTTTGAAACAACAACAATCGGCTAAAAAATCAATGAAAACAATAAAAACCGGTTTAACTTTCAATTCTGTGCTTGTAAATTTATGGAGGAAACTTATTCACGCTTAAGAGTTTTATTTTACATAAATCTATCCTGGTGTGCATAATATTTTAAATTAATTTCATCTAATTTAAAATATTAAATGCAAAATTGTAAATATTATATAATTATAACTAGAGTGATCCTAAAGAGCTTCCATCTTGTGAACAATAGCACTTTCTATGCTTAGCATATTTTATGTCAATTGATTTTTTTATTTATTTAAAATATAATTCAGCTTAATGTTAAATCAAAATTTTATAATATAGACTTGTCTAACCAGTAACCAGTCTTCCAACACAAGGGGACAACAGACCTTTGAATGGGAAAAATTAGGCCGGGAGTACATGGGAGAAACTGAGAAAGCACCAAAGTAAACCCTATTCAGTTATAGAAAATTGAAATATTAAAATAAAAATTCCGGCCAGAAAGAGAAAAGGTGCAGAGCAGAGAGAACATGTGTTAAGAGGATACAAAAAGCTAAAAGCTTGAAGCTACTCACGAGTAGCATCTTTCCATTACTTGTTAGATGCCAAAAAGTTTGAGCTCACTTGAAAAGCAAATTAGAGAGTCATTTACATTTCATACTTACCAGGAAAACATTAGGGCAAATCACGGGCAAGGGCCAAGCCTATACCACCAAAAAGCTCAAACGGGGTTTCCCTTTGTTAATTTCAACTCACATCAGGGAACACCCATATTATTCAGAACATGTTAGAACAATCACACATTCACACTTGGAGTCAACAGTGAGAAGCTTATCTAGAAACCTCGCTTACTGTGACAGCAAAGAGTCTGTTGCTTCTTCGGCCACAGGAGTCACAAAATTCGACTTTAACAGCTGCGTGTAGTTAAACTCGATTTGCAGTCTATGATGAAGCGGTGCTGATGTTGCTAAACCTTTCTTCACATCTGTTTGCAATTCCCTGATAGGGATTGCAGCCAAAAAACTTTTGACATACTCTTTGCAAGCTTCTTTCCCTCTGCACACAACCTCCTCTTCATCCTTGTTCTTCAACTTCTTTTCAGCCTCCACCACAGGAACCACCTCTTGTCCATTAACTTGCTGCACCTGTTCATTATCCCGCTCTAATACTGCCGCAACAGTTTGCCGTTCACTGCCGGGTTTCTCTTCAGATGTCTGGGCAGCATCTTCTATTTTGTATATTACAGTGCTGCTGTCAAATTTCAGAATATATGCCTGGTTGCATCCTTCATAAAGCCTCTCCCCCAATGTGTCAATTATGTAATAAGCATCTGCTTCAACTTTGAGGATGAAAAAATGGTCGTTCCAGCTAACAATGTAAACACGGGGCTCACCATTGTTAGGGCACTCCAGTCCAGCTCGACAAATCTCATCCCAAATGTTATCAAAAGACATGGCACCATGAAGAAAGTCAAATCTATCCTCATCTACTCCTTCAGGGTGGAAGAAACCAATAAAGGACTTTTCAGGAACCACAGAAAGTGGACGAATTCTAGCTTGAATAACTGTTTCAAGATCAAAGTGCTTGTCAGGGAAGTGCTCCCTGTAGGTCTCATTTTCACACAGATTCCTCCATTCTAATGAGCCTTCACGAATTAGGCTATCAAATTGGGATTTTATAGGCATGAGTTCATGATTGTTTTGAAACCAATCTGCAATTACAGCAACAAGAGCTGTACATGCACTCTCACCAGCAGCCCGTTCACTACGCTGATCAATTGAGGCAAAAAAGACCTGGGTCTGAAGCTTCATAAGACCATCTCGGCTTATCACTTCTTTTTGCTCCCAACTTCCAATAGTAAAGTTGTCATCCCCAAACTCAGATACTGATGACCGGTTTGCACATGAGTCATCTTCAGTCTTGTACCACTGGCAGAAAGTGTGAAACAATATAATCATTGACAAACTTATCAACAACAGTATGCAAAGCAGAAAGGTTAAATTAATGCTACTGATATTTTTAAATGCAGGAGTATCTGGCGCATGTTGGTTTTCTAAAGATTAAGGTTACACAATGAAGATTCAGAAAACTTCATCACTACTTTTAAATGTGGAGACCTAGAAAATGAAGAACAAGTTGATTCTCTGAAGATTAAGATGGACAGGGTTGCAACTGAAGCTCAGAAAAATATATGATTCAAAACTTATTCCCCAGCCAAGTAGAAAAGAGCAAACATGTAATTTCTGGTCACCAATCACAATTGCAAAGTCCTCAGTGTCATTCAGAAATGCACATTTTTGTGACAGTAAAACAGATAGCTTACGGAGACAATTAAGAGGAAATAAGTTTGGAAGTAGATTCTCACCCCAAGAGAAAGTGATTCATCAGAGCTAAGTTGCCTACGATCAAAATCTATGTCATCACCACCTTCTTCTCCATAAGCCTTCTTTAACAAGGGTTCTCCCTTTGCTTTAGGAGACCTGAAACTCAACTTCCTTTTCCTCCAAGGAAGTATGCTGCGCTTTGAACTTTGTAATAAAGAAGGTTCCATGGCTGGCACAGTTAAATCCTCCATCTGCGAACACCCAACATCTGATTTGCGATTGCTGTAGTAAACCCAATCCTCATCATCACCATTTACCCTCAGGCTTGAATAAAATAATCCTTCAGCATTTGCATAGGCCAGCTTTCCATAACTGAATGACTTCCTGACACTGGAGCCATCTTTTCCCTCATCTGACTCTCCTTCCTCAAAATCATCAAGAGAGTCAGAGTCAAAAGGATAATTGTACTCGCCATCATCACTACGCACAGAGCACCTGCCTTCACTGCCCTCATCCTCACGGTATGCCTTTTTTGGTTTCCTAATAGATACATATTCTGTCAAAATCTTTACTTTCCTGAGTCCAGCTTTGATTGCAGAAAGGTCATCTTTTTCTGCCAATGTAGTTTCTCCTGACTGGGTTGGTGATGTTACTGGCACTATGGATCTTTGAACCATCTCTGTGTTTTCTTGAGCAGCTCTTCGCTCTACCAAGCTAATTGATATCTGCAGGATCAGGAAATGTCATCCATGATTTGAAAAATACAAAGAAGCACAAAACTGTGACCGATAATCCTAGCAGCCTATATGGAAAGATTACAAATTCTGCACATCGTCTAACTCAAGTGGGAGGAAAATCAGGTAAAAGGTGAGATGTACATACACAAAGTGAAGGAGAAGATTCGGCAGAACCTCCTGGGGGTGTGAGAGGGATGTTCAAATCAAAATCCTTTTGATCAGCTACAGATGCAAACTCAGCAACATTCAATAATGCGGTTCCAATGACAGGAACCTTGCTCTTTGGCTTTTGATTCAATCCCTGGTACACAAAATACATCCAAATTTTATTTTTGAGAATGAAACAGATCCTCTGCCCCCCTAAACCTGTCGAATTAGAGCAATATAGTTGCCATGTATATCAGACAAACAAACAGCATTGAAATTTTCTTGGGAGAAGAACTATCATGACCAAACATTCAACAAAATTCCGAAAATTCACTTCTAAAAAACCATGAAGCCTCCGATCATTTATTTTGCATTTAAAAGGACCTTAATAGGCATGTCCTCAGTAGCATCGTAGGAAAAATTAACACGACCCCATCAACATCCGACGAACAAGAGATAAATGAAAGAGATTGTCCTTTAAGGCTCATATGCACAAAAGCATCCCCAACCAAAAATCAAGACACAAGTAAAAAAGAAGGGGGGGGGGCGGTACAACCGATAAACCAAACCAAAAGTGAACAGCGGCCCGACCAAAAACAGAAAAAAAAAACATAATAAAACAAGAATTCTTCAATTTTGATTTGAGCAATACAACTCTTCATCAGAACTCAGTAAATATTTGAAACCGATAAATTAGGGGAAGTTAGAAAGGCGAGGAGATGGGAAGAGAAAGAAAGAGACTGACATTAAAAACGGTGAAAGCGATCTCCCAGGGATGAAACACATTGTCTTTATATGCCGATAGATTGCATAAGCTACGAAACTCCTCGTCCCAAACGACGACGGCGTCGGGGGCGACAACGTCGACGCCCACCTCCCTCGTGAAGTTCCTAACGACGGCAGTCCGGCGCAAGGAGCTGAGGGTCAATTTGGGACCTTTCCACCTAATCTCAACCGTCAATTTGCGAAGTCCATCAGACCCTTTCTCCAAAGAGTGCCGCAGCAGATCGCAACCCTCCAACCTCCTGACAATCAACGTGACCTCATACTTCCTGGAAACAAGAGGAGGCCAAGGCCTCCACTTCATCATCTTGACCACCATTTTGAGGTACCCTTGCGGGTTATTGGTCTCGGGGAGAAACTAGAAAGCAATCTTCAAAAGGGAAAGGGTTGCTAAAACAAAAAGAAATGGGGGATCCGGAAGAAATGACCGGATCTTGAGGAATCGGGAGAGAAGGGGATAGGTGGAGGAAGAGAATGGAAGGAACTAAGAAAAGCGTAACCAGAAAATCTCCACAGAAATCGAGGGGGAAAGGAGGGAGGGGATGAAGGAGAAGATGCCGTTAGAGAGTGTGAAATAGAGAGAACTGTTAAAGCAGGTAAGGGTAAGGGTAGGGGAGGGAGTTAACTTGGGTTAAACTTGCATATACCGCTCCGAGAAACCTGCCCCGGAGGGTGGATTCTACAATGGCCATAGGTTTGGGGTTGTTTGGTGTTCCCATCTTTGCTGCCCCACTTCGCTCTAAGTGCAACAAAGTTTCGTTACATCCCCGACCCCGTTGTGTGGATAGAATATAATAATAACATAAAAAGACTAAGACTTCACATTTTCTATGTCTATATATATTTTTTTAAAGAAGGTTGTTTTAAATTAATTTTATTTATTTAGAAAAATACCTTGTATAGAAATAATTTTTTAATTTTTTGTGTGCTTGTGTTAAAAAAAAAAAAAATCCATCTATTCCCTTTCCGGGCTACATTCCTTTTCCGTGAAAGAGGGAAGGGCAGTATATTTAGAGATTATCCTAACTGTCTTCGTTCGTTTTATTCTGCGAGAATCTTAGAGTAAACCATTTCACTTTTTTATATATTTTATATATTAATATTGAGGTCAAGATACAAATCAAAATTACATCTTCATTAGCTCATCATCTATCATTATTTCTTTCTTAGCCTGATTGATATCTAGCACGCGTTCCGCTTAGCGAGAGCAATGCATCTAATGAGGATTGAGCAACCTTTTCCCTTCGACTTTTTGTTAACAAGCATTGGGAAAGATCATAATGTCACGCTGTTACTTTTGAGGCTCTTTTTTCACTTGAGATATGGAAAGTAGTCAATAAACCTCTTCTAACTAAAATTATTATATAATATAATAGGATTATAATTTTAACCTCCAACTATAACTCACACAAACTTTAATTAGCAAATATACGTTATTTTTTAACTAGATCATTTAAAAAAAATGCCATATTAAATTTCTAAAAATATTAGAAAATAAAGGGTAGCACAAAAATCAGATTAAGAATCCGATCCAACTAGCAGGACATTTTTTTCCAAAAGGAGCAAGACTTTTTTGCAGAGCTGTCAATCATGATGGAGTCCATTAGGTTAGCCCTTTTAAGTTCGAAAAAAATTAGGGTCGAGCCTCTATTTTGAAAGAAAAAATAATAATTCAAACTTAAAAGGGTCGTTCCGAAATAAAAAGGCTAGCTCTTTAGGGTTAGAGCCGGCCCTTTTAAGCCTTTTTTTTTAATGTAATATAAAAAAATAAAAGATTAAATATATAACTAAAAGAAATGAACATATTAGACTCATTCATCCTTCGTTCATTCATTCATTAAGATTTAGCTAATAATGTTAGCTAAGTCTAATTTTTATTGGTATTAATTTTGATGTTATTATTTGATATTAGACCTGAATGTTTAAATTTTTTTATTTATTGTGATGTAAATTGATTTAAATTTATTTTTTTAAATTTAATTTTATGTATAATAACATTTTTTAGAATTATAAATATTTTTTTTAAAATTTTAAATTGAAAAAGGTATAAAAAAAGGATTGAGGCCCTGAGGGCTAGGGCCGACCCTTGTAAAATAAAATCCTACAGCATAATTGAGCTTATTAGGGCTATCTCATTTAAGCCCTGACTCTTCAAGAGCCGGTCCTAATTAATAACTCTACTTTTTTTGTACTAATATTTGAAGTGAGATGTATGCCAATAAAAAATGATGTTAACTATTGCATTCGTCTTAAGAACAACTATTCATGTAGTGATATTAAAAGATATTATTTTACTTGTTTATTTATTTCTTAGTTGTACAATCTAGATAGGATCAGATAATGCTTAGTTATAGCAAGATATTAGCTTCAGTTATTATTTTGTAAATTATGAGAAACTCGTTCAATGACAAAATGTATATATACATGTATCACAGATGAATAAATTGAGAGTTTTTCTACAAAATTTATTATGGTATTAGACCTCCAAGGTTACAAACCTGAACAAAAAACGTAAGTTTCAAACACTGAGAGAGAATGGCAAGCGATAATTTGAACGTCAGCCCCGATTCCAATTCACCTTACTACCTTAATGCATTAGACAACCCTGGATAAATTTTTGTTAGTGAACTTCTCAATGAGAACAACTATTCAAAATGGGTCAATGATGTGACTAATGTACTTGTAGCCAAGAATAAGCTTGGTTTTGTTGATAGACCTACAAAGTAATTGGGGGTCAATTCTGCAAACCTTTCATACTGGATCAGATTTGATGCCATGGTGAAAGGATGGCTTAAGAACAGTATGGATAAAGAGCTTCGAAAAACCATCAAGTATGAGAAGATGGCAAAGGAGATATGGAACGACCTATCTAAGTGATATAAGCAAGGCAGTACTCCACAAGCATACAAACTTTGACAAGAAATTATGTGTTAATGACAGAGCAAGTAGCCGATGGCCACATATTACACCAAACTGAAGGCACTCTTGGATGAATCATAACAAATAGCTCTTCTACTTAAGTGCTCATATGGTCATTGCACATGCAATGTAGGTAGGATCATTGAAGAAGCTAGAGACAAAGACTAACTATATGATTTTCTCATGAGACTTGATGACAAGTTTGCAATAGTGAAAACACACATCTTGAGCATGAAGCCCTTGATGACTTTCAAAGCAATGTATCATCTTGTTTTAAAAAGATGAGAAATAAAGGCAAGCATTGATCATACATAGAGGTAACCCTGAGACCATGGCATTCCAAGTTCAAGGTGAGAGAGCAGGCAGAGAAGTGGATGAGCAACAGGAAAAGCCCAAACATAAACACCGTAACAGTCCTCACCCTACCCTCCCAAGGGTCTCAATGGTACTAGACTTAACCTTAACTTTCTTAAGGTGGTAGACCTTAAGGGTTTAAGTTTAGAGAGGTTCCAAAAGACCCTCGTGAGGGTGGGGTGAGGAATAACTGTTGTACCGCTAGTGGGAAAGCTGGCGACCATCCCATAAGGGGAGGCACGCCCAGCATCAAGTTGAGGCCCAAGGGGTAACTCCGTGCTGTTACAAACACTGTAATAAGCTTGGGCATGTATAAGAAAAATGCTACAAGTTGATCGAGCAACCTCCAAATTAGAAGAAGTCTAACAGAGATTGAAGAGGAAATTATTGGAATGACAAATGAAATAGACCAAAAGCAGTATGTGTAAGTTCTAATAAAAGCCCAATTCCTAGTCTTATGCCTATGCAGTATGAGCATTTGCTGTAGATCCTGAGTAATAAAGTTAAGACATAAAATGTTTCACAAGGATCTAAGCAGTCGGTTATAAACATTGTAGGTAAATGCACAATTACCTTTGATAAAAATATGGGCAATAGACTCCGGTGCAAATGAGCATATAATTTGTGAAGATAGGCCTTTACTCAATGAAAAAAGGGTTAATCATCTACCCATGCAAATATTGAATGGTTAAGGTATTCATGTCAAAACATCAGGACACTTAAACTATAGACTACCATCTTACTTAAAGATGTTATAAGAATACTAAATTTTAAGTGCAATCTAATGTTAGTAAGTAGATTTACTCATGATAATGATTTTGCTATGAATTTTGTTAAGGACTTGTGCATAGTTATAGACCTGCATATAAACAAGGCAATTGGGATGGGGAGATACTATGATGGTCTTTACATCTTAAAATCAACATAAGGGAAAAGAATTGCCTTAATGGCAAAGAAACCTGAAGATTTAGAGCTGTGGCATTGGAAACTTGGGTATGCTTCAAGAAGAAAGATGAAGTTAATAAATCCAGATTTTGATAAGAACAAGCAAATTGATTTTTGTGATTCCTATAGCACACTAGATTGCCATTTGGGGATACTTCAATAAAAAGTAAACTTTGCTTTGATTTAATTCATTGTGATATGCGGGGACCATATCGAATACTTTTGATAATTGGTGCACAATTTTTTCTCACTATTGTTAATGATTTTAGCAAAACTAATTGGGTCTATTTAATGAAACACAAGTTTGAAGTTAGCAAATTGTTGATCTCTTTCATAAATATGGTTGAAATGCAATTCAATGGCAAAATTAAATAGATAAGAATGGATAATGGGATAGAGTTCAAGTCACTTGAGTTACTGAGATTCTATGAAGATAAAGGAATGATGATATAAACATCTTGTGCCTATACTTCACAACAAAATAGAGTGGCTGAGCTTAAACACAAACACAAAACTAAGATGGTTCAAACTATAAGAATTCATACAAGTATGCTAAAGCAATTCTGGAGCGAATGTGTCTTAGTTGCTATACATATCATTAACAGACTGCCAATGAAAGCAACAAGAAATAAAGAGCTATATGAATTACTGACTGGTAAGAAAGCTTGTTATAGTTATCTTAAAATGTTTGGGTGTCTTACTTATGCATAGGACTTAACAAATACTAATAAGTTCAAAGTGAGGGGGAGAAGGTATGCATTTATTGGGTATCCAACTAAACAAAAGGGATACAAGGTATTTGACATGGAAAAGAAGTAAGTAATCATTTCCAGAGATGTTACATTTTTTAAGCAATAGTTTTAGTTTGTGGAGCAGTTAAGACAACAAATGAAGATTTTAACTTGCAAAGGTCTTGAGTGTTAGATGCTCATGAGTTTGATGCTATTAGGCCATTAAGTAAAATTGGGCCAATAGATGAGAATGAACTGGATGATCATAATCAAGAAGAGACTTGTGTACGGGAAGTACAATAAAGCCAACGTACTGGAGAAGTTCCTAAACACTTCATTGATTATGAGGTAGAGTTGCCACATTCAATGTTTAGAAATAAAGATGAGTTGCCCATTGAAGATTGCACTACACACCTTATAGCAAATTTTGTCTCAAACAACAGGTTTTCTTCAAATCATAAGGCATTCTTAATCGTGATTGATAAAATAAGAGAGCCATAAAGTTTCAAAGAGGTAGTGCAACATGAACATTAGAGATAAGCAATAATAAAAGAGGTAGAAGAATTTAAGTAAAATGGGACATGGACTTTAGAAGAAATACCATTAGGTAGGAACATAATTGACTTAAAGTGGTCATTTAAAGTAAAATTCAGAGCATTAAAGATCTATACAAGTTTAAGGCATGTCTAGTGGTAAGCGATTTTACTCAAGAAGAAGGAGTGGATTATCGTGAGACTTTCTCACCAGTTGCAAAGTTAGTCATTCTGCGAACGTTATTGGTTGTAG